AATGGGTTTCGATGTATAGCAGCATGTTCTGGATCATATGGTTCATCATCTAGCCAATTATACAATCCACATGTCATCAGTTTTGACACCTATGGAAATATATTTGTCGCCGATCAATTCAATAACAGAGTGCAAAAATTTCTTTTGCTACCAAATTCATGCAGTAAGTTAAAACTAATTCTCTCATATGTAAAACGATCCATCATTAGGAATATATGATTATAATTAGACGCACAAAGGTGTAATGCTCCTTGCTTTGAGTGCTTTAGTATATTTCTGTGGAAGCGTCAGTTTCGTGTTTTAAAAAAATATAGTAAATTTTTTTTTAAATCGAAGAAAAGATATATCTAGACATCAACATGTTCAAAAGCGCAAAAAACACAATTTTTCAGATGTGCTCATATTCTTCTGGGAGAAACCTCTAAGAAACGGAAATATGACACCTTTAATTCGAGTTTAAACGCAAATAGTTACTACAAATTTATATTATAATATAAAGTCGTATTTCTATTTATAGATGGAACGACAACGGTAACAACGATGGCCACGGGTATTTTCAAATAAATTTTTTATTGACTTATTTTTCTACTAATAGTTTACATTTGTTTTTAATAGTTACTTCAATGAATAATTCTCAGTCAGTTTCTTTGACAACAACTGTTCGTGGAATAAGTTCTACAACTGCACCATATCTAAATCGTATGTAATCATTTAATAAAATAGAAATTTTGTTTTGAATATTTTGATGATGTGGGTCTAGATGTGTGATAAAGATGCATAAATATACATCTCGCATACCCATCCTCACCCTGAATCATGAGTAAGTTTTTTACCTATCTCGATCTCATAACTTCGCCGAATATGAGTCTGGCAAAGCCTTTATGTGTTCATCTAAGGATGAGCTCGAATCTATCAAGATCTAATAGATCCACTTTCTATGATTCAATTTAATAATTATTAAATATCTTTGATAAATATGAAATTAATGAATACATGTTTTTGTAGCTATTTCATACAATATACCGAAATTCACTGCGTATACTACTTGGAGCTCCAATGGAATAACGTTCGCAAACACCACCCTGGTCGGAACAAATCCTAACGGTATATTTGTTGATAATAATAACACGGTATATGTAAGTGAGTCTTCTTTGAATCGTGTTCAAGTGTGGCGTAAAGGTAGTAGCCAACCCACAAGAAATATCTCCGGTAATTTAAACAATCCATATACTGTTTTCGTTACAAGTAATGGTGATATTTATGTTGACAATGGTTATGCAAATAGTAGAGTGGATAAATGGGCATTAAATACAACAAATAGTACTGTGGCAATGAACGTCAGAAGTTCTTGTTGTGGTCTTTTTGTCGATATTAATAATAATCTTTATTGTTCACCGATTAATTATCATCAAGTTAATACAAAATCATTGGATAGTAATTCAAATATATGGACAATCGCTGCTGGTACAGGATGCGCTGGATCAACATCAAATACGCTTCATGATCCTCGCGGAATCTTTGTTGATACAGATCTTAATTTGTATGTTGCTGATTATACCAACAATAGGGTGCAAAAATTTCTATCACAACAAGTAAATGGAATAACGA